TTATAATGACTTTTGCTAAAATTTCAAAATCAAAAGTTATCAAAACATATTCTATGGGACTGAGAAGTATTATTTTCAACTTTTTAGTCCATTTATAAAAGCGTTGTATATTAAAAAGTTTTTTTTTATATTATTTATTTTCTACTTTTTAGTCCTGTCTGAATAAAATTTTGCAATAGATATTAAAATAATTCAACGATATTAATAGAAAGGTGCACGAGCACCAATTAGTTTTATTTAAAGAAATGGCGGGAATTCTATTTCCGGTGTAGCAAACGTAGTACATAGGGCGACCTCTAGATGTCATCTACCTCGCCCTATTCACTATGCTTTTTTATAGGAGCTTTTCAAAGCTTTGCTTTATGGTGTCGGACACACAACATTGAAAGTTTCTGGAACACAACATTGCAAGTTGATAAAAGCGTTGTAATAATAAATGTGTTGTTATTGCAGTGTGGACAGAAGGTGAAACACGACTTCTGCTCGATAAGTACAGGAGCTACCTGCCTGAAATTGGTCCGATGAAAGCCATGCGTAACAAAAAAAGAAATGTGGGTGAGGATATCTACAGAGATAGAAGGAAGAACGGCAAAGCAATGCGAGGATAGGTATAAGACTTTGATAAAAAACGAAGAAAGCAGCGGTAGAAAACAACCATACGTCTGGAGCCAAGAGGCAGAGAATCGAGTTCGCCCAAGAGCTCGAAACCATACCCGCAATTGATGACTCAATTGAACCAAAAGTTCAAATGAGTAGCCAGGCGGTAGTAACAAAAAGCGTAGATGCCAACAACAAGCAAAAATGTTGCTAAGGGGAAAGTTTCTGTGCAGGAGACGTTAATAAGTATTTCAAGAGAAAAAAGAGGAGCGGCGTCACAGAGAAAGAATGGAAGCTCTTAACAATATTCAAGAATTTATATCTAACTTCCTTCACGGAAATGTAATAGAGGAAGAGCAAATCTGAACGCAATGGAAGTTACCTGAAGACGTACCTAATTGCACTTAATACTAACTAATAGACTAGAAGTGATATTTTAGTTTTTTATGAAGTACTTTTAATTATCTATTTGTTCACAAAAACCTTTGATACATATTTAAATATTAGAATATACAGTGCCTGTAAGAAAATAGCACCTCAACATTTTGACCAGTTTTGACTATTTTTTCTTTTGTTTATTTAATGTTGTGTTTAATGTAAACAATGTGTAAATGTTTATAAACAAATAATATAAAAGTTTAGCCAATTGTACAACAAACACCATATGACTTTGCACTCCAAATTTCGTACAAAAATTATAAAAATTCTGTAAAGTTTCACGAAAATTTCAAACTTTTTACATAGAATATTTATAAAAAAAAATTGTTTTTTTCCTGCCGTATTTTTATAAATTTTGTACTAAGTTTGGAGTGTGAAGTTATAAGGTGTTTGTTGTACAACTAGCAAAACTTTTATAAACAAATAATAAACATTAAATAAGCAAAAGAAAAATAGTCAAAACTGGTCAAAATGTTAAGATGCTATTATTTTGATCGCAGAAAGAAAAGTCTTGAACTAAATGAATAAATTTTTGAAAAAATACAAGAATTCATTTTAATATATTTAATCTGTTTGTTGTTGGAAAAAGTAGTCTTTCAGTTCGTTTCGTTTTATGGCTCCCAGCTGTGTAAGCAAACAGTCCCTCCTATCGCCTCTTTCAATGGAAATATTTTCAGTCTGGCAATTTTTTGCATCAAGGGCAATAAAGTCGTTCCTATCAATACAAAGGTTATGAATGGTGCAGCATGCTATTACAAACTTCGCCATCGACTCCACGTTGTAGAAGTCTAAGCGCATTAGTTGCCGAAAGCGGGATTTTAGCACCCCAAACGCATTTTCAATTTTTACCCTAGTTTGACAAAATTTCGTGTACAACCTCTCCGCTTCGCTTAAGTTACCATAATCCCTGAACGGTGTCAACAAATACTCTCTAAGGGGATATGCTGAATCACCCAGCAAGTAATACTTAGGTGCACATACATTTGGGAATTCCTTTCCAATGAAGGCCAGTTTCAGGACTCTTGAGTCGTGAATTTTGCTTGGAACTCCTGTAAATACGACCAGAAAACGTAACTTTGCATCACAAATGCCTTGCAAAGTTATGGACATGCAATCGTGTCTGTTCGCGTAAGATGAGCGTATTTTATGTCTTGGTTTTCTGCTCGAAATATAACTGCCGTCTATACAGCCCAAGACATTTGGAAAACCAGCAATCTGGAATTAAAAAGAAATATATACTGCAAGTTAAGTAGATTATGAAAGTGTACGTACATTTTTAAATTCATTTGCGATTGCTTCTTTTTCTTCAGTTTCGGTTGGAACCCTTATCGCTTCTGGGGCAACGTCTTTTTCAAAGAAGTTCAAAACTTTGTTGAAAGTATAGTACATGCTTGACAACGACACACTCTAAAAAAAAAATTGTGTAAATTTCCTAGCTGAAAGGTAGGTTACTGATTTCCTACCTTGTTATTCGCGAAATTACATGCTCGATTATTCAACGAATAGTTTATTTAAATTTCGGACTTTTTTGAGTGTAATATAGCTGCTGTGGTGTGAGTAAATTTACTACGAAAGTGTGTACAAGCTCTAAAATACACATCTGCTGTTTGATTTCTCCCGTAGAATTGTGTAAAGCCACTAACAAAAAGGATTTTTACACACGAAAATGTGTGAACGAGAAAAATACATATTCATCGTGTAAATTTACCAAAAAATTTAAAAAATAAACAAAAATATACTCGATTTATACTCGCATTTTTAAACAAATTTTTAGAGTGCATGTCGAAAAGATTTCCAACTTCCCTAAAAGTAGTTTTTTTTTTGCAGCAAACCTGATTAAAAAATATTTATATATATTCATTTTCTGTTGAATTATTTCATTTAGCCTACCATAGAAATGAAAGTATATGTGTTTCCGCAGTTGTTTGCCGTCTTCCTCCCATATAACTCCTTACTGTGTACCACGTACTTGAGGTGTATCTTTCTACCAGGTACTCATAAAGTCCTCGACTAATACGGAAATATTTCTTAAACTGTAAAATGTATGGGTTAAAAAAATTAAACTTTTTATTGTAATAGCGTTATTTACCTCTGAATCAGAGTAAAAAACAACCACGTTTCCTATGAAGTCTTCCACTCTAGGCTGAAAGTCCCTTCCAAGCACAAGTGCATCCATTTCATCCTCAGATGAGGACGACGATGACTCCGCCAGCTCCATTACAAGTTGATTTATAGAACTTAAAACTAAATTATTCACTTCCATTTTCTTTTATTAATTTAATAGGAAAATATGATACGCAAAATATTTTTATTTTTACAAGCGTAACTCTCTCACCCTCAAATTTTTTTGAGGGCAGAAAAGGCGTCACTTTCGCCGAATCAGAGCGCAAACTGCTGAGAAAAGAACACAATACCCTGGGAAAAGGCTGAGAAAAGAACATGAAAATTTGACAGCCCTAAAACAGGGCAGCATTTTTGCGAGAAAAGTGCAACATTTTTGCGAGAAAAGAAAACGCTATAAGTGAACAGTACAAGAAACCTAACCAAGGTACTTGGATCTCTGATCATAAAAAGAAGGCCGCGATATGGGTTTGCGGAAAAAAAGGCATTAGTGGCAAACCTAGCAGTCATGAGTTTTTTGTCAAAACAAATATCGACGGGATCTATATTTACAGCTGCTATGCACCACCGAGCCTCAGTCAGCAGGAATTTGAATTGTTACTAGACAGACTTGTGCAAGATGCCGCGATGTATTCTCCAAAAGTAATAGCTGGA